GGCGCCTCTTCCAGGAACCGCTCGAGGGCGCTCGTGTGCCGGAGGGTGGAGCGGGGGTGCGGGCGGGGGCGGTGGACGGTGCTTCACGAGCGCTGCATTAAAGACCGCACGCGGGCCCACGTGGGAAGACGGCCGCAAAAAGCCGCAGGGCGCGGGGCGCGCGCCGAGCGCCGCGGGGCGCTGCGGAGGCGACGAGCTGAAGAGGGCTGAATATTAAACCGGCGGCGGCGGCGGCGGAGGCGGAGGCCAAGAGGGCGGTGGGCGTGATATTGGTGGCGTAGGTGGCAGGCGGGACGGGAGGCAGGGAAGACGACGTCGATAGTGCGGCAGGCTGATGAGAGGGTGTTAGTGAAGGTGCTGATGGAAGTGGTATCATATTAGTGGTGATAGAGGCAGTGATCAATACCATTGTAATATACATGTGCATAGAAATATTAGTATTATACTTCTCACCTATACGTCACATACTTTACCATTTGGAGAAAATAATTTAATCGAATATTAAGAAACCAATTATTTAAGTGGTCTGTCGTGAAAAAGAGCTCAAGTCAGTATAAATAAAACCACCTGTGTGGACACGCAAATGACTAATCTTAACGTATATAGGATAATGGATATAGGGAGATTCTGTCATTTTCATCTGGCTCTCTAATTCTCAACTGGAGTTTCAAGATATACTTGCGTAATCACATTCGAGATTTTAGATTACACAAGATGCGCGATAAGGAGATGGGGAATCACCCCAAAGCCTGAAACGCTGATTAGAAATGAAATAGGACTGGTTAACGTGAAAGCAAAGACGCCAAACATAAAACAAAATCGGTGGGGAACGCTCCATTAGGTTTTCCAAGGAGGGTGAAGAGTCAGGAAGCGGACCGGCCAAAGGAAGGATTAAGAGTCGTGGCAACAACGTCGCTGGTGGACGCTGCAGGGTAGGAGCCAGGAGACATCGCAGCGGCGCGACCAAGGAGCGGGGGGGGGGGAGAGCGACGGGGACTTGAGCGACGCGACGGCTGAAGTGGGGTGTGGGGCGTGGCACGGGCGGCGGCCACTGCGACCGCCCTCTTTCGGGATCGAGGGCGCTTGACGCCGTCGGCGCCCGGGCCCGCGGGCGCGCTCGGTTGCGCGCCTCAAATTCCGGAACGGGACCCCGCGACCTGGCGCCCCGGCGCGCGCCACGGGGCGGGCCGGGCCGGGCCGGGTCGGGCGCGACGGGACGGGACGGTGCGGTACGCGCCGCACGCGCTGGCCTGGGCGGGATCGTGCCGGGACGGGACAGGCGGGATAGCAAAGTCGCCAAGACCCCCGTCCCGTGGCGCCCAAATCGGCTCACCTTCGACCCAGACGCGCGTGGCATGCGACCTCGCCACTCACGGGGTCCGTTCCGCCGTCGAAAACAACACCTTCTTTGGTCGTCGGCGACACAGCAAAACGAACGTTGCAACTGTAATTTTTAACGTTGATCGATCAATTCGATGGACATTGATAGTAATTTAACATTGAAGCATCTACAGTATGAAATATGAAAGTGGAGTTAGAGAATAGCATAATTAGTAAAAAGAAATTGGTATCATTTTTATCAATTCTCCGTGTACAGAATAGTACTAAGGTGTACTCGCGCCAGTAGAATTACGTGTCAGTGGACCGGGATGGACCGCAAAATCTGGGCTGGGCTGAGCTGGGCCTGGGGGCGGGCGAGATACATCGCAAAGACCTCCTCACGTGACGCTCATATCAGCCTTCTCTTTCGAAACAGACACGCATGGCACGTGACCTCGCCACGCACAAGTTCCGTTCCATTCCGGAAAACAAACGCCTTGATTGGTCAGTGGCATAATATCAAAACCAGCATTACAATAAGACGTCAAAGTTAAACATCTACAAGTAGAGTAATAAATAGAAAAGTGCCGTGGAGAATAGGGTATAATATATTCAGTATATGTTTATCAATTGTCCGTTTACACAGAGTTCTAAGCAGTATTAAGAACAAAGGGTATTACGTTTCTTATTCTACAGCAAATCCCTGAAGCATCGGAAATAAATTCAGTAATGTGTTTCTATTTTCTGCATACAATATAAAATGCAAGTTTCCTGCATTCAACTGTAACAAGAGAAACTTTAAGTACTTCGATTGATAGATTAATTGAAGTTTAACAGTGACACAATTCATTCTTATGTATCGTCACTAAAAAGAAATCTCCCGAAACACGTCCATTAGTCGAGAGACAATACTTCCCTATGCGTCATCCTACATCCCCAAGACATTCACTTGGTGACTCACACTCAAGAGAGAAAAAAACGGACGCGCGGCGCAAGTGCAGACAAAGACCGCGAAGGAAACCGGACGCCGTCGAAGCGCGCCCCACGGCGTCACGCCGACAGCGGGCGCGGGGGCGGCGGGGGTAGGAGGCGGGCAGGCGGGTGGTGGGGCGCCAGCGTGGCTGGAGGCGGGCAGCGACCGCGTGTGAGCCAGTCAACGCCGCCACCGCGCCGGCTCACTCCACTGCGCATTTGATTGCGTCGACGCACATTTTGGTTTTGAAATCGGGCGGGAAAGCGTCTCGGCGCAAGACGCGTGGCGTCTGGGCCCCGCTGCCGCCGCCCGCCGGCCGCCCGCTGACGCTGACGCTGACGCGACGCGTCATCCGCGGTCCGCGCAAAAGACGAACAAAATAAGGCGCATGGAAAGAAATCGCGCGCTTGTTTCTTCGCCAGTTGCGAAGGGGACTGACGGAAGCCGCCCCCTCGCCTCATCCGCCCCCAAGGGGGTGCCAAGGCGGGGGGACTGCATTAAGGGCCGTCGCGCGAAAGGGGGTTACACCTTTGCTCATTCCCGTGGATTCCTTACCCGCGGCCTTCGTCGCTGGACGCTCCCCGCCGCCTCGGCCGCCATCTTTGGAGCATCTCCCCTCGACCGCGCCCCCATTTGCGTCGCCTCCGCTCCTCCTCTTCTCCGCCCCTCCACTCTTCCCCCGTCGCGCGTCCACCCCCATCGTGTCGGCCCGCCCCCGGCTCCTCTCGCCTTCATTACGCCGGAATGCTCAAGTCCTTTCATTCTTAAGACAAACGTATCATTTTTGCCTTGCAAATTAAACTTTTGGCGAAAATACAAATTCCTCGCGGCCGGCAGCCGCGCTGCCGTAAGAACCTCTTGTGATGGGGTAGCTGAGGCGGCGAGGACGGTGGGCGCGAGGCGGCGGCGCGGGTTGTGGCGGCGGCGTTGGCGGCGGCAGGACGTGGCCGGTCTTTGGGAGGCTGCTCAATTTTCTCCTTCTTTCATGGCTGGAAACTTACCCAAGCGCCCCGCGCGCCCCTTTTCGGAGTTTTGGGGCTCCCGACTAATAGGCGAGGCTGCCGCTTGAGATAACTCGCGGTCGCGCAATACAGCGCATTCTTGCCGGTCGGGAATTAAAATACTTGGCATTGCTACGGGACCTCGGCCGCCGCCGCCGCCACCGCCGCCGCCGCTCCCCGCGCGCCAAGACGCCGCGCGTCCTCGCTCTCGCCGTCGTTGAGGCCGCGTCGCTGCCTCTGCCTCCGGCGGTACGCGGCGCACAGGCGACAACAACACGCGAACTACCTCGCCTCCTGTTTGCGTCGTTACCGAAAGATTCGTTTGTTTTTCCAAGACGGCTCCTTCAAACAACAGCCTTTGTTATTTTATCTTCGCAAATCTTAGCGAAAGGGAAGCTGCCGGTACAAAAGAAATTTTATCTATGAGGGTCTCAAAAATAATTTGAAAATAAATTGCAATAAATTGAAATGTGCTTCGAGACACTTATGACATTTCTTTTTTAAATAATTTGATATACTCCTATTTTGGTCTGATGAATAAACAGTAAGTAATGTAAGTTTTCTTTTTTCTGATATCGAAGAGCTTGGTTACAAACATTTCATTCCAACCCCCACTCTCCTTATATTAGTTTTAATTTTTTTCTCATATTTTCAATGTCAAGGAAAATCACGTTAGAAATAAATTTGCTCGAGAATCAAGATACGATAATATGAATGTTCTGTCGTCAATTTATTCATATTCGCATTAAATTGGGGAAAAAGGTCTAAATCATGTAATTCACGGAAAGTAATTTGAACTTGCATCAGAAGTCTCGAGAAAGAACGAAACAGATTATTACCATTTTGCAAACAACGTAACAAACTTGAAAAAACTTTCGCGCTACATTCTTGTGTTACAATAGACAATATTGTAAGATGTAATTTTATGAGCTAGAGGTGACATTAACATATATTAGTGAAACCACAAATGTCAGTGGATCGTATAGTATCGAAGCCAATAGGCACTGTACAGACATGAACAGTAATTCCCACATTATCATAGAATAATGTAGATCAAAGAATAATATAAAGAAAATTGTAAACGATATCACTAATGATTACTCTTAGCAATCGAAAAATGTAAATAAATAATTCCACATCCCATCATAACATTCCGTAACATTCCTTAATCGACACGAGTCTGCAGAACGCGAACGCGAACGTTTCCCAACCTAAACGTCGACGTGAATTTCATTCCATTATCGACGTCTTGCAAGGCTCGCGCTGGGCGCCCCACCCACGCGAACCCAGCGCTCGCTTCCACGCGCAGCGCAGCCCGCCCGCCCGTCCGCCCGCCCGCCACGCCGCTCCGGACGAGCGCAAGCGAACATAGAAAGTTGGACAGAAAGCGCCGGAGGCTACGACGGCCAAACTTTCTGGTGGGGCCGGGGCCGGCGGCAAAACACACACCCGTCCTCCGCGGCGCCGGCACTGCCGATGCGGCGGCGGTGGCGGCAGGCGCGGGGAGCGCGGGATTATCATAATCCTGTTGAAAGGAGGCGGCGGGCACAAGGAGGGAGGCGGGGGGAGCGAGCGTGCACGGCGTGGGTGGAGGCGTGGGTGTGAAGGCTAGCGTGGCCATAGCCGCGACCGACGCGCCGGCCGGCTTCGACCGGGAAGAGAAAAGAATGCCAAAGCCGTATTTGTCGACAATTTCGGGTAATTACCTCCAAGACAGACGCAAGCTGCCAGCTGAACAAACCACCCCGTCCGGTGGCGTCCAGACGATGACGGAGGAGGAAGCGGCAGATCCAGGAGCACACGCATGACTGCGGCGGGACCTGGACAGAAAATATAAATACACAAAGTACGTTAGGCGACATCGACCACATTGTGTTAATGTTTTGTGCAATTTCTTGGTAATCCACTGGAATTGTGTTGCAAGTGAGAGGAATGTAAATTTTCACAATATTAATATAAAAAAATTCACTGTACGTTTGGCGAACACGGCTTTAGTGCTCTTTTTCATTGTTTTAAGATTATTTTTAAACCCAAAAGTATCATTTTTGAAATTGTAAAACAATTCAACTTACTTTTCAAGAGAAATTATCTTGTATAAGCACTGCACAGGATCTTTTTTTTATAATTCTCAAACGTTCGACAATTGACAAAAATATAGCAATTCCATGAATAAATACATTTTCCAAAATTAATTGTACATAATAGTTAAATGTTTGCTGGCCATAAAATATAGAGAATCAAGAATTAAAACATTCGCTGAAAAAACTATATTCACAATTTTTTTAGCCATAAAGAAACAATCTTTTGTAACGAAAAACGATATCTAAGATGAAAAATTAATGTCATTATTTCAAGATTGTCTTAAATACTCTTAAGTAACTTGTTTATTTAACATCAAAAACAGTAAAAACAGATCTTTTAGACCCGCATATTATTAATATATCAATATGTCAGTAACAAATTAAGTCATCATATAAAACCATTACTTCTTAAATGATAATTGCTGAGGCAATTATTACCCCCATAATATTCTATTATAATGTGAAATAAATACATTATTTACATTTTTATAAGAATTTACATTTTTTCTGTTAGTTCATCAGCATACAAAAAGCGCTAACCGTTTAAGGATAATTGCGTGCAATCTCTTAGTTAGAATTAGTTTTGAAAGGAATATTATTTTTTTATCAATTTTGAGTGAATGAATACTTGCAAATATTAATCGATTCTATTTCCTGTAAAGGTATTTTCACTTAAAATACTGTCTCTCATAAATCGTGTTCAACTATTTCTACCCCTTTTAATAAATCAAATATTTCAAAAATAGTATTAGATCACTGATATCAAATTGTACTGGAATGAAGATGAGAATTTAGATTTAGATTTATTTAGTCATAAAAGAGTAAAAACTATGTGACATATGGGGGAGAAGACGCACGTTTTCTTGAGTTCCAGAATCCCTTCCCACCATTTGAACTATAAATAGTTTAAAGAAGAGTAAAAGTTAAAGATAAATATATAAATAAAAATGAAACTTCCTACCACTACAAGCAAAAGGAGAGTTGAAGAAAACGTGCGCAAAGTGAAGCTACATAAATTTATTGAATCATTTAGGAAGGGAACTGATAACTTCTTCTAAACATGTATTTTTAATTACACACTTGTACAGTTTGAAAAAAAAAATATAGTATACATTTTTCTCTTTTGTTACGCTATATTCCATTACGAATTTAGTATGCTATTTTCTTACCAAACATCACGAAATGTACGAAAATATTATCAACATCTTTTCTGCAATCAGAATTTTATGGTATTAATTTTTACATTAATACAGTTAGTGAGTAATAATATATTATTTTAAATAATATGATTCTAGAGACAATCCTACTGATTGATTTATTAGGGACTGTCATGAGCAACTATATGAGCTTTCATGAGTAACTATAACTTGAATAATGATGATTAAACCTTTGCCTGCCAGGCAGCGATGGTTTAGTGAAGACGTTGTGTCTTACGATGGATTCTAACTCAAGCTCTGAGCGATTTCACTCACTCTTATTTGCGCTGTTTATTGTTATCAAAAATAGTTTTTGTACGTCATTGCTAATTTCACAGTTGAGGAATTAAGTTTCTTAATCTTCAATAGATTCGTATATATTCAGCTAGTGCACATTAAAATTTCCACGTTAATAAAATATATAAATATGCAATTTTCTGATCTTCCTCATTTGATGCATGTATGTCCAAGTTCTGTTCGGCAATATATTGTGATAAAGGAAAATTAATGGAGAGTACGTCATTCATCTGAACTCAAAGGAACAAAAAATTAGCATTTTACCAAACTATCATCTATTCAGAGATACAGTCTTATCCTCCAAATAATTACAAAAACATGAATGGATCAACAACTAGAGAGTACGCATGCACTGTTGTGTACCATGTTGTGTTATACTGTACGCGAATTTATGGAAGATCATGGATGTTTGGCGGAAAATCACTTATTAAGTGCATTTTCATTAGGTAGTTCCCGTATTAATAATTCTCTTCATCAACTCGCGTGATTAAACAATGGGAGTTACTGTATACGTTTCATTCACAGAAAGTTAACAGGACAATTGTATCTAGATTCGAGTATGCAGCTCGAGCTGTCGAACACAATGACATTTCTTCTCATTATAGTGCATGATGCTAGTAAATTTGCACGGATTAACAGTATTCATGGCCACCTCCTGCCAATAGTACACTCATTATCGTTCTCCAGCTTCCATATTTTCACAGAATATGCTTGACATTGTTACTCCATTTCGAGCTAAGAGAAGACGAAATGCTTCTTTAATTAACTAGAAATATTACCAAGAACTTCTCCCAGTGCTTGCTATTCAGACATATATTATTACGAATGAATGTTACTCTCTGTTTTGAATTCCATTCCTTGTCTTAATATATTATTTATAAAAATGCATATTGTGCATATTTTCTAAATATATAGACGGTTGAGAATTTAAATGTAGGAATAGTATTCTGCTAATAATATTGAAATATGTTTTAAAATTTTATTCACAGTCTAGTATAATTTTAAAAATTCCCCAAACATAACAAAATTAAACCACATTATAGAGATGTACTAAACAAGAAACCATGAACAAAACAGAGGATTTGGTGCTGAGACGCCTCAGGTGGAATATATTAAACAAACGAACTGTATCAGTTAGTTGTCAATCAATAAATTAGTTTTCCTTTGTATCCGTAGAATATATATCTAACACATTTCTCTGATCGACTGATTTCCTTCAAATTATCATTGATGTTGATTAATGTGTAATTCTAAGAATATAATTAACTGGAATTAAATCATTTGAGCATGCAATAAACAGAATTATTCTGTGCAAAAACATATCACAAAACAAATATGGAAGATCTTAAGACTTAGTGAAGGGAAAATAATCCATGGTGAAACAATGAAAGGAGAAAACAAAACAACTTTTGCAAAATACATAAAGCATTATATAATAACCGAATGACACGATATATATTTTTTAGAATTCAAAATTCTTCAAAACTTATTAGATATTCTTGCCGATATATTTTCCAAATATATTTTTTACGTGTATATTTAGAAAGGTGCTGAAAAAATTAATTAAAGTTCGTCGAACATTCACCATCTAGGAAAAAACAAAAACAGTTTATATAACTTTTATTTCGTTATTCACATAAGGACACACAACCTTATGTATATATATTCTACAACAATGTGCAATGTGTTATTAGGATTTTAACAATTTTACTGGCAAATTAGTGTACAATAAATAATAATAAAACTGTGTATTTAGTAGTCTTCCCAATGAATGCTTATAATGATTTAACTTTTTAGAGCCCTTTCCACCGATTCATCTATAATTTAGAATACGGAATGCAAAAATACAAGGGCAGTAGTTATTAATATGATTTCTTATTCTAGTACATCCAAAGCAACAATATTCCCCAAGATCACATTATTTATGAAATGCTAATCAATTAAAATGTATTTTCTTAAAACTCGTTTAGCAGTTATAATGTTACAATGTGACTACAAACTCATAATATGAAAGCATAAGCTCGTAAAATAAAGAAATAAAATACCTAGTCCTTCAAGTACAAAAATAATATATCAAATGAAATAACTATATCGCTTGAGCAAAATGCCACGAACACACATCGCCATTTATTGTAGATGATTCACAATAATTTATTTACTACTGTAATATTACAGTAAGTATTTAAAAATAATAGAGAATGTAAAAGTACGTTTCGTCTGAAAAATTATCTTGCATAACTGCAGTTTTTTTTAAATACTCCTCTCACTTTCTTCGTTATATGTAAAATGAAAGCTAAAAACTCATGAAATTAAACTAGCATTGCTAGAATAGCACATATTTTCTAAAATTATTTCTAACTTTTGCAATTTCCGAAAAATAATAGTGTTCAAAACAATAGAATTAGCTCATTTTTATAAGCGCATGTTTGATTAAAATAAATAAACAATTTGGAGCCGATTTTGAGAACACTTTAAAAATTTCCTTAACTTTAGGGGAAAATTCTACGGAAACGACTCATAATTTAAAAAAAGTGTTTATGATTTCCTATATTATTTTAGGATATATTATGATTTTGTGTCATTGTATATAATCATATTTTCATGAAACAGATTTCATTAAAAAAATCCATCGTCAATATTGTATGATTTTGTAATTTTTTTGTTGCTTTGTTGTTTAATTAGGCTCAAAGCTTTTTCTTTCTTTTCATTTAAGATAACGCAAAACGTTGATTCTGAGTACATAACGTATTGGAGAACAAGATATAGGAACAAGGTATGTGCACTTTCTCGATATCCTCGCCTTACAATACTAGTTTTTTGAGGAAGGTTCGCCACTTTCCGTTGCAACAACAACAACAACAACAACAACAAACAACAGCAACAACAATATTTTATGTTTCTAGCTAAGTACGCCGAAATTGAGAATATAAAAATATGTTGTGTCAAGTGTTTTACACTCTTTATATATTTTATTACGGATGCATTTTGACTTCTCTGTAGAGCTGCATACGTCTTGTGAACGGTTCCGATTTCAAAGAAAATACTTATTTTCGGGTCTGGAACATCGGGCTCTTTATCATATTCATCGAGGGTTTGTCCCTTTTGAGGATATTAAATGTAAATTGTGTTGAAGATCATAGTTTCTGTCGCTCTACCCATGAAAATTAACAAATAAAAAACATTTAAAAATATGTTTTAAAACGACTTATAAGTGAATTTATTTTAATACTATTAGTGATTAATGTG